CGAGCCTCTTCCTCCTTCACGATGTCTTACCACCTCGTCACAATGCCTCTATCTTCACGACACGAACAAAATCTGAATGGATTCCTTTAAGATAGTTTTTTTCTTACTTTGATTCCGTGGAATAAACTGTGCTGTGCAGAACTCCGTGCTAACGTGCTAAAAACAAAGGTCAGGCAAAGCTAGCCTTCACAAATGACTGATATCCTAGCCAAAGGTCAAGGAGTAAATTTCTTATTTTTCATCCAAAGACTTCTGTCTACGCTGAATTTATGATACAAGATGGAGACATTCCTCCTACTTGATGTATATGGGGAGGAGGGGTATGAGTGAGAGACATAGAGAGACAAAGAGAAAGAGAGAGAGAGAGAGACCCTCAATTTCAATACTGTTTTTAACATGCCCTCATTGGCCTTTCCTCCTCATTTCCTGTGTCACTGCAGTGATAATGATCCACCACCCAAATAGTACCTGCTCTGTGGTGGTCCTGTGGGGGTCCTGACTATTGAAGAACAGGGTAAAAGATGGCTACAAAGTATGCAGAGAAACAGATGGACTACAGTCTGTAATTGAAGAACTGCACCTATATGGTAAATGGAGCTGATAAAATAGACGAGTGTAGAAACAAGAAGGTGGTTTTAATGAAGTGGCCGGTTGTATATAAAGATTCTGGTACCACTTTACAGTAAGACGATCCTTATAAAGGGTTTATGAATGGTTTATTGGTTGAGTGGCTCTTAATTAGGCCATACACACCTTTAAAATCATTAATAAGCATGTGCAAAATTTTCTAACTAGTGAATTCCGCGCCCACTGCTGACACTGCTTGTATAATCTCTATAAAAAAAAAGCATTATTAATAGAATGGGATGATCTGGAGTAGCCACACACAAGCCTAAGGCCACCATGCCCAATGCCAAGTGTCCACTGGAGGGGTGTAGGCATTGGGCTGTGGATCAGTGGAACTGCCTTGTCTGGAATGATGGAGCTAAATCCATTACCTTTGGGATGAGTTGTGGTGATGCAGCAGTATCTAATATCAGTACCTCACTAATGCTCTAGTGACTGAATGCAATCAAATCCTCACAGCAATGTTCCAACAGCCTTCTCAGAAGAGTAGACACTGTTGCTGCAGCAAAGGAGGGGTAAACTCCTGATTAATAACTTTAATCTCAGAAAAAACGTCAGATGGACAGGCTTTTTTATGTGTTATAACTGTTTATTAATGATTAAGGTTTTTATGACCTGCTTATTAACAACTTTAAAGCATCTGTATTCTTATTGTAAAGTGGCACCAGTATTTTCGAACCCAATGACAGTTTTGTTTAACCTGGGCTTTGTGTAGCTTCTTTGGAAGAAAAAGGACAACAGTACCTCATTCTAATGGACCATGGTGCTCATTCTAAAGCTGAAGCTCAAATAAGGAACTGCATTGATTTTCAAATGATCAACATGTAAACGAGGTCATTCAGAGTGGTTTGATGTGAAAGGCTCCATTCTAGGAACCAGCCATCTGAAGCATCTAATGCAAAGGTCTGAGGTCCTTGAATCCAGTTAACGGTCTTGGGTTTTGTAATCACTGGCTTTGTAATTAACTGCTGAAGCAACTGATTGGCCACCTAGTGTCATACCAAGCAGTGATTACAAAATCCAAGGCTGCCTTTAAGGTCTAGACGTGAAGACCTGTGGTTTTACACTTCTAAAACAATGGCCACCAACCCCAGTCCTGGACATCTGATTACCTGCAAAGTAAGGCTCCAATGCAGGTTGCAGGGAAAACCCTGCAAGAAAGCAGATCTTCAGGAGCAGATCTGAGGACCACTGCTCTAAAATAAGAAAATAGAAAAGGGTGAAATGGTTATGAAAATGCTGCAGGATGCGTGAAACACTGTTTTATGATAGTTTTGAGATCAGATTTTGGCCTAAACATATCATTGTTGTCGGAAGAAAACCTCGTATCTCCGAAATGATAACTTTACAGGAGAAGGAAAAAACCTACTTTACTTTAATGTAAGTCAATGGAACCAGAATTATTTCTAAGTAATTTTGGGCCATTTTTTTGGTCCACTCTTCATGAAATTTATACACAATGTAAAGGGCAACAGGTATTTTCAAATTATGTCAAAACCTGAAAAATGACAAAAATGGAGATACGAGGTTTTCTTCCGACAGCAGCGATATATTCGTTAACATGTTCATGGCCGAGATGTCCATTCAGGGAGCTGTAAAGCAAAATAGCTCCCAAAGAAAAAGTATTATCTTAAGTTTTCCCATCCTCAACATTACATATAAAAGCTCAGAAGATTTCTGGTCATTTTGCTAGTAAATAAATATATGAGTAGTCACAACGACCCGTTTCTTACCACAACCTTTGGAAAGAAAAAGGTAGACAACTTTGTCTACGATGCATCATTTCACATCAAACCACGTTGAATGACATTGTTTAAACTGCTGAATTATGAAGGAATGTTGAAACATCAGCGGATTTCCCCTTTAAGCCTGACAAACCAAAGATTATGTATGATCTGCTGTGAATAAACAAATTTGCATTGCCAAGTTTGCTTCACTAACCAATTAGCTCAATGAGGTTAGCCTTGCTGAGGGCAACTGTGGTCCTATTAAAATCCCCTCCTCCCCCTGCCCCGCATTGTTGCTTAAATAACACATTTCTGAATCTTGATGTGAAGACAGCAAGGGCACATTAAAAACAGCTTTGAAATGGAGGCAGAGACCGAGAGACAGAAGTGGACAGGTCAGCTGCTAACACAGACAGAGCAGAGGGATTTCCTCTACAGCAAGCAAGTGTGGACACAAAACCAGGCAGCATGGGGGTGTTGGGGTGGAGGGGTGGGGGGGGTGTGGGAGACCATTTGACTACTCTACTCTATTTACAGAAGACAGGCATATAAAATTGTACAGCCACTCCTTCTATGACCACAAAGCCTAAAGGGTAACGCTTTACGTGAAACTCTGCTACATAACATTGACATAACTATGCAATAAACATGTCATGGCAGATGTCATGTGCTGTCATGACAGATTTTGTTCAGTAATACAACAGGATCATGTTACCATTGCTAGTAATTGTCATGTTTGATGTCAAGCTTATCCAACATGCTAAACTATATGGCCAAAAGTATGTGGAGACCAGCCCATCACACCTACATGAGCTTTTTGGACATTCTATTCCAAAACCATGGGTGTTAATACAGAGTTGTCCCCAGCCTTGCCGTCATAAGAGAGTCCACTCTTCTGGGAAGGCTTTCCACAAGATTGCCCATTCAGTCAAAAGAGCATTTGTGAGGTCAGGCACTGATGCTGGACGAGAAGGCCTGGCTCACAATCGAGGTTCCAATTTATTGCAAAGGTGTTCAGCAGAGTTGAGGTCAGGGCTCTGTGCAGACCACTGAAGTTCCTGCACACCAAACCATGTCTTGATTGATGTCGCTTTGTGGACATGGACACAGTCATGCTGGAACAGGAAGGGATCTTCCTCAAACTTTCCACAAAGTCAGAGGCGTATAATTGTTTAAATGTCTTTGTATGATGGAGCATTAATATGACCAAACCCTGAAAATCAGTCCAGACCATTATCCCTCCTCCACCAAACTTTACCGTTGGTACTATGCATTCCAGTAGGTAATGTTCTCCTGGCATCTGCCAGGATTCATCCACTCATCATTCACTCATCCATCAGACTGCCAGATAATTAGACGTGATTAATCGCTTCCAAAGAACGTTTCCACTGCTTCAGAGTCCAGTGAGCTTTACGCCACTCCAGCCGACGCTTGGCTTTGCGCATAGTGATCTTAGGCTTGTGTGCAGCTGCTCGGCCCTGGAAACTCTTCATGAAGCTCCTGATGCACAGTCCTTGTGCCAATGTTGCTTCTTATGGCAAAGATGGCCTACGACAGAGCCATATTTAAAGCCACTGAGCTCTGCAGTCTGACCTATTCTACTGACGTTGACGCTGAATGTTTATCTATGGAGATTGCATGGCTATGCACTTGATTAAACACACCTGTTAGCAATGGGTGTGGCTGAAATACCTAATTGTGAAATACCACATACTTTTGGCCATATAGTGTAATGTTTTACTAAATGCAGCTAAACATTAAGACATCTATCATTACAATCACCAGTAAAAGTAACATGACACTGTAATATTACTTGACATGTTCATGGCATGGTCAGGCCAGTGTTACGTAGCAGGGTCCAATTACAAGTGTTACAGCCTAAAGAATTCAACAGAAAAAAGACAGGCAAAGAAAACCTATCAAAAAGTTAGACATTGTCTTTTTTTTTTTTTTGTCTTTTCCCCCAAATATGTCATCTCATTTTTATATACCTCTGTTAAAGACAAATGTGTGAAACAAAATCTCTCCGAGAATCTAAAATAAACATTTCTGCTAGATTTCAAATGAAAAAAAATAGAGATTTTTAATTGCAAAAAACAATTTAAAGTATTTCACATTGCAAATAAATGCAATCTCCAGTGTTATTCGTTAGTAGAGGAACAAAAAAAGAACAGTGAACGCACAGCCGCGCACAAGCTATTTCGGCTTTGAAGGTCAGCGTGTTTTTTTCGGAAAAAAAATAACAAGCAACCTGACGTTAGGATAAGATGTTAATCTAATTACTCAGCAAAAGGCATAAACCGTCCCCGAGATGTCGATTTTGTTAATCAATTCTTGTGTCTGTGCATCCATATGTTGCCTGTTAATGCCGTTGCACTACGCCGGATTAGTCTTTGCCGCTCTCGGAGCTGTTACGATTAGGCTGCTTAAACACTTACAGTAGCTCTTTGATTTGAGTGGAGATACGTGGGTGCATTTCCATTGTTGACCAGCAGAGGGAGACATTGCATTAGAGGACGCCGTGTGCGAGTGGCAGCGGAAATGTTATGGACGGGTGGGTCAGTTCAATAATAAATGGAGAATCTTGGATCTTTTCAGGCAACGATTTCTGTTTTTTGTGAGCGCGTTTAATGTGTGTGTGCGTGTGTGTATCCTGTGTGTGTGCGTGTGTGAGATGTGGAGGGGTGTTAATAAGGTAACGTAGAGGGGTCCCACTCCAGCTTGGCCTTTGCTTTGCCCAGCACTTCCGTCTGCTCCTCTTCCTCACTGTCCTCTGACTCCGCGCTGGACTGATCCCCTGCCAGCTCCTCTTCGTCCTCGTCGTCTTCGTCTTCCTCCTCCAGCTCCTCCTCCCTGATCTCGCCAGCGCTCTGAGGGGCATCGATGTTCTGTCCCGAACAGAAAAGCAGGACGGTTATCATCACCGTTAGAGCTGAATGAGATAATAAAACTGTGATGTTATTGCCACCTCTTATATAATGAATGGAGTCAGGGTTTGGATTACATCATCACTGCTTTGTATTACATCAGATTTTGCTGTGCACAGTGCAAGGAGCTCAAGTTAGGGCTGCAGTCAGTGATGCGGGAAGGCATTGTACATCAGCTTACACAGTTGCATGGAAATACTGGGCCTGGTCAAATGACATGACTTTCTAAGTGAGAATTAGTGGTAACACTTTATTTGAAGGCTACCTGAATAAGGACTTCATCACACTTCAATAACTATTGAATTATGTATTTCTAAAGCAATAACTGAGTATTTATGAAGACCCTTTGCAATTAATCGCAAGATGAGACAAGATAAGTAAGCCTGGCATTTAAGGGGTTGACAAAAGGGTGACAGACATGGATTCCTTCTGTAACACCTTAAAACTGTTCTTCTGTACTTATATGCAGCTGTTATGGTGTTTTTATTTAGGTCTCCACATAAGCCTTGTATAAATAGGTTGTTCAATGCTTATGCATGTGTTATGAAGCATCATTTGAGAAAGATGCTTCATAACAGTGTTATAAATGGAACAAAATGTCCATCACTATAGTTTCAGGCCCCTTATGTCAGTGCAATATAGTTTACTTCATAAAAGATCTGATACCAGCTTGCAAGTAATGAAATAAGCTGTTCATAACTACTTAAGTACTGCTTTATAAATATGTTGTTCAATGCTTATGCATGTGTTATGAAGCCCTTATGTAGGTAGCCTTCAAATGAAGTGTTACCAAATAAGTTCACACATTCTCTACAAAGAACACATTACTTACTGTTTATTAGCTGAATTTAACATATTAGGAAGAAATAATAGAACATAATGTTATCACATTATGTATAATAGTTTAGTAATTCTTTGCGCAATTTAAAATACACACACAGATAACAGGGAGAGGCATAAAGCTAATAGCCTGTATATGAAGCCTCCATCTAAATAATATTAAAATAATAATATCATGCATAATATCATGACCTTGATTGGGGGACTTCCCCCATGTGAACCCAGAAAAAATGTAATCTATATATAAAGCAATATATTTTTAATCACACTGTTGTGTTGGTTAAAGACTGGCCTGCATTATTTACCTAAAAATGAATGACTTTAGATAGATAACTTGAATACCTTGATTCATCAAAACACCCACAGAAACTCTTGTGTGGAACTGTGACAGCTCATTTGCATATTGTGGCTTTCTGTGATATCAAGAGGGCAGAGCGGGGCGCAACACATTATGTTTTTTACTTAATAATTTTTTAAACATGATTAATACTTTTTACAACGAACAACCTTCACATTTTTGCTACAAAGCAAAACACAAAACACAAACTTCCAACACCCGCTGAAAGTGGCAGGAGTGCTAGGCGGAGTTAATTGTAACAGATGGAGGGGCTAGTTGTAACAGACGCTGAAAAGTCTGATAAATCAGTGAAGAACACAATTAATGCACCAGACGTGCGTTCCAGCCTAAATATATTCAGCAAAATAAATATGATTCATGAAAAACAACAGCACAAGTTTATTTTAGACCACATTTTTAAGCGCATTAAAATTGTAATGTATCATCCCTGTCCAGAAAAATTCATCTCCATTTTTGTCGATTTTTATTTTTCTACAGCATTTGAATGCAGCAGCTGTCCTTTACACTGTGTGAAAATTTCATGGGGAATGGACCAATAGAAACGCTCCAAAATCACCTCTTTACATGGCATTAAAGTTACAAGTATAACACTGTTTTCGGAAGAAAACCCTACTTTACTTTAATGTAAGTCAATGGAACCAGACTTTTTTCCAAGTAATTTTGGGTCATTTCTTAGTCCATTTATCATGAAATTTAGAAAGAATGTAAAGGACAACATGTATTTTCAAATTATGTCAAAAAATGAAAAATGTCAAAAATGGAGATATGAGGTTTTCTTCCGACAACAGCGATAACTAAGTTGCTGTTTTGGAGATATATGTTTTTCTTTGAACAGTGACAATATGTTATTTGCACATTTTAATGAAGCTATGCATAAAAAATTTAGCTGAATTAACTGAGGATATGCCCTTCTATCTATGTTTGCTGTAGAAGGCTTAGTCGTAATACTGTGTTAAAACTACCTCCGCCAGGTGTTGGCCGTACATGAACAGTCTTCATGGTAAATCTGTAGAAATATCTGTCCGATCGCTATAAAAATTCACGGATGTTTGGGAATACAAGATGACTGAAAGCACATTCTACTTGAACCTGATTGACTACAAAAAATTTCTGTTACCTTTCACTCCATGCTACTTTGTGCTCCTCTCTCCCCTACTGTGTAACATTTAACACAGGGTACACTGTGCAGCCTTCAAAAGACACCCACAAGCTATTCATAGCCTTGTGTCATTTAAATTTAAAGCCAGGGACGACAGCACAGACCAGCAAATACAGCAATAGATTCTGCTGTGACACAGTCACAGGAACTGCTTATTATACAACTCAAATAAATGGTGTGTCCTTCAAATGAAATAAGCACATTCATTGCCCGTACTGCTGGCCAGATTTTCACTGGGTTAGTTAAAAAGCATGCTAATGACTTACCTCCATAGGATTGACGGTGATGGTGAGGGTAGAGTCGTCCCAGTCCATTTCTGGCTCCTTCCCTCCATCCTCATCTCCTTTCGTGCCCTCCTGGTGGGTGGTGTGAATGCGATAGATGCCCAGGACCACAATGACCACCAGGGCGGCGATGCACATCACTATAACTACTGTGGCTGCTGGGGGTGTGCCTGTGACCAAACATACACAAAAAAAGAAGGAGAATGTTTCATTATATCTCCCATAAGAATCACGGTCAAAGACTGCTGAAAAGTACAGATACTGAGATTGTAATTTGTAACGAGGAAGGTGAATAAATTTTAAGTTTTATGAAGGCCAACCAGTGATTATTTCTATAATAGGTTAAACCTATCAAACATTTCATTGGCTAATCAAAATGGTTGCGGTTCCTCCCACTTTGCTGATGGAATCATTTAAAGTTCCATCTGTGTGAATGGTTCCTTCTTTAATGGTGCAATGAAATAATGGATGCCTTATTGCCCCCTATACTTCCTATAGGGTACTGCAGTCTGTCAGAATGACCATGTATATCATAATAATAGAATAGAGGATTTTTAAAGTTCTATTTTCAACTAAATACTGCATCAAAAATAATATTCAATGTCAACATATTTTTCATAATCAGGGATTCCACAGTTTTTAGGAAATTTCAAACAAAATTTGTATGTGGCATAGTCAAAGACTGTGCTTTATTCAATGGGTGACACTTTACTGAAGGATGTCTACATAACATTTATAACATCTTACATAAACATGTTCATGAATATATAAATCAACCTTTATAAATCGTTAATACGTGTTTAAAATCATATATCTTTTAACATCTTTAAAGACATTAATATGAACTACGATGTCATTTTATTGAGAGACATTTTTCAAAGTAAAAGTCCTCATTTTTTAATCTGAAAAACTATATTTTTAGCAAAACCCCTCATTTCTGGACAGCCAAAATAAAAAAGACCTCACTTTACCCTTTTGGTCATCAAGTGCTTTAACACTTTTCACCTATACTTTCAACTTCTTTTTCCTTTACGAATGTTGATTTAAGCATTTATGAACATGTTATGAAGTGTTTATTTAAGATCTTATGAATGTGTTGTGTAGACACCCTTCAAGTAGTGTTACCATTCAATTTCCAGTTAAGTTATTCATTTGACACGGTCAAAAAAGTCCAGATAACATAGACTTATTGGAAACTTACATGGACACATCAACAACTAAATGTAATTTCAACTTATACAGGTTTTTTTTGTGACTTCTCTTTCACTTTATAACAGCTTCCATTCTTTTCAGGAGACTTGCTTTCAGAAATCAGCAAGGATATTTTTCCAACAAAAGTTGGTTGCGTTTTCTGATTCTCACGTTCCAATTCATCTGAACACTTGGGTGGTCAGTCCATTGTTCTGAGTACACCAGCAGCTTCTTTGTTGGATAAGTACATTTCGACATTCTCAGCAGTGTGCTTGGGGTCGTTATCTTGCTGTAGACCAGTTATCACCAACCCCCAACCCTGGTCCTGGAGATCTACTTTCCTATTAAATCTAGTTCCAACTATAATCTGCTGCACCTGCTCCAGTTAATGAACTTCTTCAGAAGTCCTTGATTGGCTGGAACAGATCCATTAATGTTATTCATATCGTATATCATTAGGTACAGAAGGGTTAGAATGTTAGATGCAGATTGGAACTAAACTCTGCAGGAAAGTAGGTCTACAGGAGGAGAGCTGGTGAGCACTGCTCAAAGAACAAATCTCTTCAAAATCAAACTGCACAATGTATCAAAATGGATCTTATCAGCATGCATAGTGCCCTCAATTAAAAGCATATACCAGATGTTAGCATACATCTCCAAACCTGATCTTCACTGATCCTCCACTATGCTTGACAGATGGTTGTACACATGGCTCATAGAGTCTTCCATTGCTTTGCAGCATACATACTGCTTTCTGTTACTTCCAAAAGTCTCAAATTTATACTCATCAGTCCATTAAACCTAACTCCACATCTCTTACTCAAACTGGGCATTAGCAGCTAAAAATATTCTAAAATATTTAAATGCCAAATATGCCCATCTTTAGACTTTCCCAGGACTTCACTAATATTTTCAGGACAATTTTCTTATTCCTTATTTTCTGAGTGTTTTCTGTGACTGGAAAACTGGTCTAAAAATTTCCACATTTTCCAGAATGTGCTCATAATCTACTTAATCTACTGTGGTATTGCCTACTCTGTCCCTCCCAATACTTAACCCTCTGGGGTCTGAGGGTATTTTCTCAATTCTTGCATATCTTCTTTAAATTTGCCTTTAAAGGCACTTGCATATAACATGATACCCACATGTTTCATATCAAATTACTACTACTAAAACCAAAGCAGCAAATTCAGCGGCTGTAAACATTTTGCACACCATTTCACATGTGTCTCCAGAGTCAAATGAATAAAGAATAAAGGGTTTCCAACGTGATGGGTAAGACCGCAGTCATTTCCTGCATGTCCACTGGTCAGTTTCGTCCAAAATGTAGACGGACACATGAATCTACCAGTCATGCACGGTAAAAGGCAGATGACGTATTTCTCAACCCGTCTTCATAGCCTCATAACTCCAGATGTGAGTCAGGATTTGTAGACTAATTATTGCAGCCCTAGTTTTAAGGCAGATTTAAAGTCTCTACCTTTCTATACTGTACATCACCTAGGAAGATCTGTTAAGTATGATTAAGGTGGAACTTTCATCACAATGGTTCCTTTGTTTCAGATAAAAAAGTCGTATCTATCGCAGCAACTAATATTAATTATCAATATTACAAATCAGCTGCACTCTCTGCCAATATCAAGGCTGCTGTGGCTTTCCTAAGTAACAGTTTATAGCATGTTGTGGTGACCTACTTACTAAACAGGATGGAAAAAGTCTCCATCCAGGATGTTGGTTGTAGATGGCTTCAAGCAGAGCAGTGGCAGGCTATCAGTATTACAGTTAAATACATTAAAAGCATGTGCCCAGCATATCAATTCAAGCAAAGCACAAGGTCAAAGAGGACAGGGAGATGTTGCTGTTATCAAGTGAGGCCAGACTGCTACCTGCTGTTTCTAGATCCTTTCTCCACTACTGAGTAGGGGTGCATGATCAAATGGGCCAGGATCAGAATTGACCAAAATTTGCTGGCTGACCTCTTGTGATTTTATATCTTGAGTTGCATGAGGCGGCTAAGTACTTGCTTCGTGCATTTACTTTTATTGGCCATTGGTACTTTGGTTAATGAAAAGTAATACAAATGTGCTAGGATTCATATTTGGCCCTGTTCGTACCTGGTATTAACATCCATCTCAAGCAGACAGTAAGAAGTACAGCCATTTGTACCTGGCAGAGATGGGGACTCAAGTCAGCAACTCAGACTTGAGTCACATGATGACTGACTCACGAATCAACTAGGCTCGAGACTGAACACTTGCGAATGGTCAGATAAGTTGGTAGCGAATCCAGCTTAAGTAAAATTCTCTACTAAAGACTCAAGGCACAACTCAGATTCGGACCCTAGAGTTTCAAGACTTGCACTTGCAATCCAGAGATTTGAGATTTGATTCAGACTTGGACACCAAAAACTCAAGACTTGAAACCCAGAAACTTGAGACTGACTTGGACTTGCATCCCAGTGACCTGAGACGTGCATGTGCAACCCAGAGACAACCTCACCTCAGACTTCGAGCCCAGATACTTGAGACATGCATGCACAATTTAGAGTCTTGCATCTTAGAGACTGGAGACTTGCACTCGACAACCCAGAGACAAGAGACTTGGCTCAGGCCCGCACCCCAGAGACTCAGGACTTATGCACAGCCCATAAATTTGAGACTTAACTCAGACTTGCAACCCAGAGACTTGAGACTTGCACTCGCAACCAGGACAGACAAATCAGACTCGCACCTCAGAGACTTGAGACTTGAATTTGGAACCCAGCGACTCAAGATTCACCTTGGACTTGGACCCCAGAGATTCGAGACATGCAAGCACAACCCAGATGCGTGAGAATTAACTCAGACTTGCAACCCAGAGACTGGAGACTTGCACTTGCAACCTGGCGACTCGACTCAGACTTGCACTTTTGAGACTCGAGACTGGCACTTGGAACCCAGAGACTCAAGATTCACTTCGGACTTGAACCTCAAAGACTCAAAATGTGCCTGTGCAATCCAGCGGCTTGAGACTCAACTCAGACTCGCATCTCAGAGACTTGTACTTGCAACCCAGACACTTGACTTGGACGTGGACCCCAAAACCTCAGGGCTTGCCACCAAAGATTTGAGACTCATCTTGGGCTCGCATGAATTGACTCTAGACCATCTCTAATACCTGGCAATTCTATGTGTCTCAAGTGTGTCTCCAGTCACCATCTATGATTGGATTTTGCGTCTTTTGAAACGGTGTCATGTACATGACTGACTACGTCAGTCTCTTGCTGCTAGCTTGTTAGACAACAATGCACCATAAGACCTTGTTGGTTTACATGTACAGGCTGTTGAAAATGTTCACATCACATGGATCACTAGTGCAGATTTTAAACAAAGTGGAAAGGAGATGAAGAAATAAAAGAAGAAAATGTTCACACTGGTAAAGTTCTAATGCTATGTGGTCATGTGCATCTGAAGGTCACTACATCTAAAGGTAATTTAAGTAATTCTAATCACAATACTTCACTGAGAAGACCCTGTTCACACCTTTACATAGCGTTGCCCACCCAAAATGCATCTTATTGTCTGGTGTGAACAGGGCCTATTATACTCTTACAGGCTATAAGAACCACGTTAGCACTACATTCTATATGTTCTATGTAAATCTTTGGTTATTGTGCATTGAACACTTAGTTTGAAATGTGTGAAAGTCCACAAAAGCCACCAACAGATATGTTTTATATTACTGTTTTCAATTTAGCCTGGCAAGTGTGAGGTTTGTATTTAGATCCTATACACAATGTTTTGGAAAGAAACAACGTTGTGTTTTTTTTGCATGTTGCTTTCAGAAATTTTTGGCTAATAACAACAGGTCAAAAAACTGATTTAGCTGTAAAGAAATTGGAATTGGCCAGAGAAATGAATGATAGATGCACCCCTACCACTGAGCATTTCTCATTCTGTCAGCTTTTTCTCCACCTCTCCCTCTACACTTCTCTCTCTCCCTCTCTCTGGGAGCTGGATTCTGCTCGTTGCAGTCATGTGTGTCCCGTGTGCCCTTGGGGAGATCACTGGTGTCCCTGGTGTGTGTTTGTGTGAGCTGGAAAGCTTAGTCTAATCCTTGCAGCTCCTCAACACCAACAATACATCCTCGCCAGGGCCTGCCATCCACTCACGCCAGCGCGTGTTTGTGTGTGCATCGCTGCATGCGGCGTTGCCTAGCATTACAGATCAGGTTGGCCAAATAATAGAACTCTGTAATGAACATGAACATGTTTACTGCCTATCTGACACCCACATGTTGAACCGCTTTTCTCCTTATGAAACAGCACAGCACTACAGAATTAGAAAAACGGATCATTTCTTTTAACCCCTCGAACTCAAGGAACTATGGGCGATTCCATTTTGCATTACTACATAATTTATAAATTCATTTGCTTTATTTAATAATGCATAGCTACTGATAAATTCATAACAGTTGCTGAACAATAAACATTATGACTAAAGTGATAGGTTAGCTCAAAAAATTACACAAATAACCATTCAATTCAAAAAAGTCCATCTGTTAGCTTTTTAATTTTGCTAATGTACCTAAAAATATAAGTGGAATCTTATACCCCACCAATTAGCATTGTTCAAACTGTTTCTACTGTTACGCAACATGCTTTTTGGGGGCAGTCGTGGGCTGGAGGTTAGGGAACCAGCCCTCTGACTGGAAGGTCGCTGGTTCGGTTCCCTGAGCCGACAATACGTGACTGAAGTGCCCTTGCGCAGGGCACCTAACCCCCAACTGCTCCCCGGGCACCATGGATAGGGCTGCCCACCGCCCCGGGCAAGTGTGCTCACTGCCCCCCACACGTGTGTGTGCTCACTAGTGTGTATGTGGTGTTTCACTGCATGGCTGGGTTAAATAAGGACTAATAAGGGTCACTTAATCTAAAAAAATGAATCCCTTTATCCACTTTTATAGATGACAATATATCATATGTTGTCAGAAACAGCATAATTAAGCCTATTTGATACAAAATAAAGGAACCATATTGTACATTTTTGTGTATTTTATTCCATGTATGATGTTTGTATGAGTTTATGTAACAAAAACAGTCATAATCACCTTTTAACTGAGTTAAACCAGCTGTTTTTGTTACTGTGCCTTCACAGAAGATATATATGAATGATCTTTGTTCTGATTGGCTGTCCTGTATTGTGCCTAATTCTGGGTGGAAATACTCCTTACAACTTCAATTTTAGAAGCTGTACTAGGCTGAACTGCTGTAGGCTGAATAGGTGGACATGTGTAAATGTATTTTTTGGGACATCACAAAAACAGTGGATTCAAATCAGGCCGTTTTTGCAGCTTATGCGGACTGTATGAACTGGGGAGTGAACTGTATGCTTAGCACACTATACCACTGCATGTTTGAAATGTGTCAGATTATCACTCCAATAACTGAATAAAAAGCCTATATTATGAGGGGTTTCCAAAAAAGTATAACATACTTCTGTTGCGGGTGTCCTTACCTGAGATGTGGTCTGAGTTGACAGTGTGGACCACCAGCGGATGATGCACGGGCCTCATGTACTGGGATTGAACGGCCATGTGATTGACATGCTCTACGGCTTCTGAGCTGTGCACTACTCCAATCTGTGAGGCAGGACATGAATAAAGAGATTATTGACAGATATGCTGGACCAAAGTGCAGGAAAGTTGCAGAACGCAGGCACACAAAAGTCCAGCATGTAAGGAAAGACTCTGACCTCCAGGTTAAACTCATTGCTGGTGTAGCGGCCGTTGAGTTCAGAGCAGCTGAGCCGGAACTTTCTCTCCGACAGGCCGGCCGGCCGCCAGTTGCGGTACCTCACCTGCCGGATGGCCTGCTCGTAATGTGCCATGGAGTCCACACCTGAGACCAGATGAACACACCACACAGGTCATCTATCAGTGACAAAACACTTATTATCTCTGCAACTATGAGTGAACAATATGGCCAAAATATAACATTGCGATACTTTCATAACACATTTTCATGATACATCGTGATATTTAGTGTTTTCTGAGGATTGCAAACAAGTCAGAACAGACAAAAATGCACCAGCAAAACAGCAGTGCCACGTTTTCAAAAAGGCTATGAAAAACAACATATGGTATAATAATTTTTAAATGAAATGTTTAAAAAAAACAATAAGGAAAAATAAATGAAGAAAATAAGTTCATGGCATGACATCCAATCAGCAGTGTATAAAATTACTGTTCTCTGGCTGCCTCTATAACTGATCTAAATTAGTCTTTGTTATGATACACGTAGGTGTTTCAGTGTTCTAGAGGTCGTGATGATGATGCCCATAATACACTCAGAAATGAATAAACATGACAGCAAATAACGCATCACCTTATTGAAAAATCATTCGAGACAAAGCCATTGGAATATAACTCACGGAAGCTCTTTACACCACTTCACAAAGTGTCATGGCAATCTGAATGTCCTCTCAAAATGACCAAATTGCTCTCGAGTGGAGAGAGGAAAAAATCTATTACTGCGTGTGAGCTTGGGATTGCAGATTCTGAATAAAAAGCTTGACTTTTAAAGACCAACACTTATCAGGGATAATGAAACTAAAGAAAAATCAGATGATTTTTTGAATCTGTGGCCCAAGAAATATAAGGCAAAATCAGTTTTTGAATGGTACTAGATGAAAGGAAACTGCTTCATAAAGTCATTGTTTTTCTGTAATTATACAAAATACTAATATCCATTTTGCTCTCTATTCCATGGATAATTTGATGTTAAGCATCTTTTTTAACCTTAATGTATAAAGCCTGCCTACATTCTTTTAGTATATCATAGTTATTCTGTGAGCTTTTCAGTGGACATGGCTACTGTATATTATATCTGTATTTTTACTGTATTTTTTCGTCTTTCTTCTCAGTGGTAGACTTTATTAGTCTGTAATGAATGTGTTGAGAAGTAAATACTTTGTGATAGTGTGTTATTTCATTATTTGTTATATTTTATGCAATATTGTTTCTCATTTTAAACTTGCATTCTCTGCTGAACATGTAGATTGTAGGTTATAACAGAAAAGCAGCTTTAACACAAGGCTGCATATTAGATTAGGTTATCATATGTAATTTCCTGAAAGAAGTGGCCATTTGGATGAGCTGGATTAGTTTTGTCAGTGGAGGTTGTTTAATATAATTTGTGGCTAATCTGATTGGAAAAAAACATATCTGTGGAGTTGACCACAGATATGTTTTGACCACAGATTGCCCAGGTCAGTGTTACATCAATTGCAGGGCACCCTCAATAACAATAACAACACAAGACATGGCTTGTTTATTAGCAGGTTTTCAGATTTTACTGTTCCATTAGCATGAGGTGGATTGGAACAGAACTATTACTGAGGTACCACCAGCTCAGCCAAATACACAAGGCCACAATTATTACTGTCAGACCCTAAAAATTATGTGTAGAATGGAAATTACCTTGCAAATTCATACAGGATTTAAATTTTCTCCAAAATTAGTATTACCAGACTATAAAAATATACACATACTGCAGCTTCATACTGGATTAAAATTAATCCACTCCATTACTCAAAAGCTACACTGCAGATTAATACTGATCAAAATTACTGCACAATTATTACTGTCAGGCTGTTAAAACTACACACACTGCAGATTCATACTGCATTAAAATCACTTCACAATTGTTACTGTAAGTCTGCAAAAGCTACATAGACTGCAGATTCATACTGGATTAGACTCACTCAGCAATGATTACTGCCAGAATATAAAAACATATTGCAGATTCATACTGGATTAAAATCACTCCACAGTTATTACTGTCAGACTGTAAAACTACACACACTACAGATTCACACGGGATTAGACCCACTCCACAATGATAACTAGCAGAATATGAAACTACACACACAGCAGATTCATACTGATCACAATTACTGCACAATTATTACTGTCAGACTGTAAAAACTACACACACTGCAGATTCATACTGGATTAGACTGACTCTGCAATGATTACTTCCAGAATATAGAACTACACACTGCAGATTCATACTGGATTAGACTCACTTCACAATTGGTACTGTAAGGCTGCAAAAGCTTTAAACACTGCAGATTTATACTGGATTAAAATTAGCCCATAATTAACACGGTCAGAGTGTAAAAAACTATAGACAGTGAAGATTCATACTGGATTAAAATTAGTCTACAATTAATATGGTCAGAGTGTAAAAAACTACACACACTGCAGATTCATTCTGGATTAAACTCATTCAGCAATGATTACTAGCAGAATATAGAACTACACACTGCAGATTCATACTGGATTAGACTCACTCTGCAATGATTACTGTCAGAATATAGAAACTACACACTGCAGATTCATACTGGATTAAAATGACTGCACAATCATTACTGTTAGGCTGCAAAAACTACACATATTTCAGATTCATACAGGATTAAAATGACTTCATAGTTATTACTGTCAGAATGTAAAAACTACAAGAAAGGTCCATACTGGATTAAAATCATTAAAATCACACATTTCGTAATTGTATCACTTAATTACAGAACCTCTCCAGGTAAAACTAATCCAGCCTATTCAGCCCTTCAGTATGTGCAGCCATAGAACAACGCACAGTGAGACACTACATATGACTGCTGAATACACACAACCCAGATGTTCCTTACCATAGATTGAGATTCCAGAAGTGGAGTTGGTGGCGTCTAGATGCTTGCCCAGAAGTGAGCTGTGGTGAATCTCCAAACTCTCATGTTCTGGATTCAACTCCTCTCCAATTACGAGCACATCACAGTAATCAAGGTTATGCATTACCTCCAAAACGCCAGGTCTGTGGCCTGTACACACACACACACACACACACACACACACACACACAAACACAATCTATTTAGTCCTCCACTGTTTCCAGGTGCGGCCATTGATTGTGTATGAGTTTCATTTCTGTGATTTATCATCTCTGGGAAGAGGAGCACGATGCATTCAATAAAACTAAGGTGCGCGCTTTTGGTGAACTTTGGATAAAACAGCCCACCCATAAAAGTAATTGACTCAGCATCGATGTAATAACTCTGAGCCGAGTGTAAATTATCGGGCTAATAATCGACTCCGTCCTTGCAAAAACTGTGGATGAATATAAAATAAACACACTATGCAGTATTCTGCACATGACACATACTGAGCTCTGACCCCCTGTTTCAATACTGTTTTTTTAAATATATTAACCTCTTAAATGGCCCAAAATTTTATTACACACTTCTATAACCTGAGAAAAGTTCAGCCTGTTTGCACTGAAGTCCCTGTAGTTACTGAACAACAAGCCTTAGTACATAGACTTGGTAGACTTCAGGAGCAGATCTAGCCCAGAACTGTTCAAATCCACAAAGAAAATGGCAGACAGCATTGTTTGTTATTGAGAGCAATAACACCTTTCAAAATACTTCATATTTTAACTTTAATATTCAATTTAATGCATTCAAAACGTATGTACCCTGCTTTAGAAGTAGAACCACAGTGCATTGTCCTTCTTTTTTGTTGTTGCTAGCCCTTAACTTGCTAAACAGCTAATTTGCTAACTAGCAAGCTAATAAGTAACAATGTAAGTGACAAAGTTACCTGCTAGCTTGCTAGTTCACAAGTTAGGGCCTACACAGTTAGCAACAAGAAAAAAGAAGTGCAGTACACCATGGTTCTCATTCGAAAGCCTGAAAAATGAATTATTCACAAAGATAATCTTTGCCTAACTAGCTAATTAGCTCACTGAGCCTGACCTTGCTCCATCCCTGATGAAAAACACCAGCACAGACAAGCATGAATTCCAAACTAGTCTAAACTGGATCATGCTAGTTTATGCTGGTCTGGTGCTGGGGTCTGGCCTAGCTGGCCATACCAGCATCCAAAACACGACATACGCCAGTTTGGTGATCAGCATAACAGTTTCCCTTGTAATATTTTAATTCTAACGTTGAATTGTGTTTCTATGTTTAAGCTGGTCTATGCCTAGCCTCAGTATTTAGTTTAGAACGAGAACCATGGTGCATTGCCCTTTCTTGCTTGTTGTTGCTAGCTGTGTATCCGCTAAGTTGCTAACCAGCAAGCTTGCTAACTACCAAGCCAGCAAGTGACAAAGTCACTGGCAAGTGACAAAGTTACATCAGCTGTATTTTTATATGTGACTGCTGATGTAACTACTTTGCTAGTAACTTTGTCACTTGCTAGCTTGCTAGTCAGCAAGGGATAAGGGACACACAACTAGCTACAAGAGAAGTGCAAGGCACCATGGTACTCATTCTAAAGGTGAAGCCTAAGCCAGAAAAGTCAGTCATTCACAAAGATTATGTATGATATTGCTCAGAATGTAAGAAATATACATAAATATAAACTTTACTTGGCAAGCTAAAAAGCCCATTACACTAGCCTTGCAACTAGTCACCTCCTCCTCTTGTCTTAACGTACTGTTATTATGTAAGTGCTATGCACTTTTTGAGTAGGCGTGCATGCTGTAGTACCTGAGCTGAAAGCATTGTCACTCTTGGTGACGGTGCTGATGATGCGGATGTCTTTAAACAGGGTGACTCCGGTGGGGGTCCGTAACTCGGCAGCGGGCCACGTCACCCGCTCCACACCTGCAATGGTGATCCGAGGCTCACTGGGAGGCAGAACCATGACCACTGCTTTTATATCCGGGATGGAGATACACGTGTCCTCACCAAAACATCTGCAGAGATAAAAGACTAGATTAGTAATATCTCTCAGACTGTGTTTTATGAAACATCCAAAATATGACACATGCTATTCCTACAAGATGGTTAGATTATACTTTCATAACTACTAGATTAGACTACTGTAATGTGTTACTGGCTGTTGCCCTCTTGGCTTTCAAAATAACTCCAGCTAGTTCAGGAAACAGCAGCCTGTGCGCTTGCCAAGAAAAGAAAGTTGGAGCATATTACTCAGATCTTAATCTGTCTACATTGGCTTGCTGGTAACTTCTCTATATAACTGTATAGCGCTTTTTTGCAACAGGCATTGTCACAAAGCAAGTTTGCAGAAAACAAGAACATGAACAAGCCGAAGGTGATAGTGGCAAGGAAAAACTCCCTAAGAGCAAGAGAAAGAAACCTTTAGAGGAACCAAGAATCAAAAGGGGAACCCATCCTCCTCTGGTAGACACCGGATAGCGTTGTAGCCTCATATCTCCAAAACGGTACATTTTCAGGAATCGGAAAAACCATCCTGAATTTTCAATGAAAGTTACTGTAGAATATTTTTGACACCATTGGTGTTGCTCCATTCATCATGATATTTTGACAGTGTAAAGGGTGGTTAAATAGATCGTTAATGATCTGTTAACATGTTATAGCCCATATATATATATATATATATATATATATATATATATATATATATATAGTGTTCCATGACATCTATAGGTGTTTGTACAGTACAGAGTTCCAAACTGCCACTGGAAGCAACAACAGCGCAAGAACTGTGTGTCAAGTGTGGCATAAAATGGGTTTCCATGGCTGAGCAGCTGCACACAAACCTAAGATCACTATGTGCAATGCCAAGTGTCGACTGGAGTGGTGTAAAACACACCGCCACTGGACTCTGGAGCAGTGGAAACGAGTTCTGGAGTGAATCACTGTGAGAATCACTGTTCTCTTTCTGGTAGTTTCATGGACAAATCTGGCTTTGGGGGATGCCAGGGGAACACGACCTCCTGGAATGTGAAGTGTCAACAGTGAAGTTTGGTGGAGGAGGGATAATGGGCTGCGTCTGTTTTCCAGCCCCTTAGTTCCAGTGAAGGGTGATGTTAATGCTACAGTATAAAAAGACATTTTTGACAATTATATACTTCCAACTTCCAGCAGCAGTTTGGGGAATGCCCTTTCCTGTTCCAGCATGACTGTGCCCCTGTGCACAAAGCAAGTCCATAAAGACCTGATTTTAACAAGTTTGGTGTGGAGGAACTCCACTGGCCTGCACAGAGCCCTGACCTCAACTTTAATGAACACCTCTGAGATGAAATGAAATGTCGATTGTGAGCCAGGCCTTCTCATCCAACATCAGTGTCTGACCTCACAAATGATCTTTGAAAGAACGGGCACGAGTTCCCACAGACACACTCCAACATCTTGTGGAAAGCCTTTGAGAAGAGTGGAGGCTGTTATAGCCGCAAAGAGGGGTCCAACTCCATATTATTGCCCATGGATTTGGAATGGGATGTCCAACTAACTTACATAGGTGTGACGACGAGGTGTCCACATACTTTTGCTTACTTACTTATAAGTCATTTATAAATATCCTACAAAGTCATTTTACTGCATTCATCTGTGATGAATAACTACTTCACTAATTCAGTTAGTCAATTATGTCAATTATAGTCTTATAAACTGTTAATGACACAAATTAAATTAAATTCTATGAATTTTAGGCTTTATTAGATCACATTCTTTATATATCAAGTAAATGCAACAATAGCTTTGAGACAGTATTTGATTAACGGATAAAAGTAAATTAAAAGACAGAAATAGCCACATTTTCTCTCTTCATATAGTAATTATCACCTCAAAGCTCAAGATGGCACATAAATCCCACAATGCAACACCTCATAGGTGACAATCAGAAAACAACATGGAGATGAATACTGTCAGGAAAGGTTGAAGACTGTTAGAAATATAAAAGTAGAAAGGAACATAAGAAACAAAATCAAGGCAGTAGATCTAATTGACACAATTTGTATACATAACTGGAGGCATGTTATGAGAATTGCAATTATTAGTTATAAACATGTTGTTAAGACCTTCTCAATCAACTTTTTAAGCATGAAATATCATAAAAAAATTGACATACCAGTAAATGGTCAATTCCACAGAATTGCAGTCCCACAGTGAAAATACATAATTAAAAAATGAAGCATTCAGACATTAGATATTTACAAGCATTATGTTATGATGTATGCAAATCCAAGGCATTAATACATATAGTAATACACAAAATCATCCTGTATTGGGAGGTGGCTGTTCCACACCCTATCCCTTAAATTTCTACATGTGAAAAAGTTTATTATTTTTTTAAAAGATCGTTTTGATTTCTATTAAAGCTGAAACATTTAGATTTATCACAAGTTTAATTTTTAAATAAAAAAAAATTAAAAATGCTGTTCCAGGTTTTCACGCCACTACCAAAACAAAGAGAGTTTTAGTCTATAGGTGGAGCCTTATTTTAGCCACACCCCTGAGGAGCCCAGCATCTGGCCAGTCATGTGGTGTAAACGGCAGACATGACCTTTCATTTAGCAACATTAGCTTTTTGGACTGAACTATTCCTTTAAGAGCAAAAAATAAATAAATAAATAAACATCTTAAGGAACCTCGGGAGGGTGCTCACACATCAGTCAATGAAGAGTGACCCATAGACAGTCCTGCTGGAAAACCTGAACCCCCTCCAGCTTCATTATGCTAAGCAAGAGGAGCCTGAGGGCTCCTGGGATTAAGATAGGGATGCACCCCCCCCCCACCTAATCGGTAATTACTCGCTTTCAAGGGTGACTCCAGAAGAGTGGCCCAAACACTTATTTATTCAATTATTTACTCAGCTCTCTAATTAAAAACTGCTTGTTTGTTTCTGCACAACAGCTCCTTTTCTGCTGGAGTGATACTCGAGGCATGCCAGAGGGCCGGCCGCTATCTCCTGGCACTAATTCCTTAGGCTAACCACTTTTCCTCGCATCGAGGAGAATGGCCTTGAACGCGAGGGACGGGGAGGGAAGCGGTGTGCAAAATTGTGCGGAACCAACAAAACAATTACACCTAATGGCGGCCGTTCAAACCGCAGAGGAAGGCAGACAAGGTGTAAAAGCTTTTGTCCGCATGCCTGGTTCAGCGAGCTAAATAAATAGAGCCAGGAAGCAGGCTAACTAATTAAGGGAGTTTGAAGGGAAAAAAGAACGGCGCAGCAGTCTCTCTTCATTTGCAGAGGTGATTTAAGAAAGCCTAAGCCAAGTTTAGGCCGTTTACAACCGCGGCGGTCGGCTCTGTTTATTGATCAGCAGGGAACATTCTCAATTTGAACACTGCCGCTCACGGCTAAATGCTGGACTAGCATTCCAGCACATCACTAACTCTCTTTCTCCCTACTGCTAAGTCTCATTTGGATGGCCACTGCTTCGGAGCAGTGGGATCCAAGATAGGTTCCATTAGCCTGCTGTCAGCCCACATGCAACAATGTATAGGGGACAAATGAGGCCCTATAAGGGGTTGAGCACACTCTGAGGGTGGAACCGGAGGAGAATAGGTAGGTATTTGCTGCTGCTCTTAAGCCACAGTTAGACCTAAACAAAGTAAAGTGACAGGTGCACGTAAAGCAAGACAAAATTTGGCATAGGAATGCAGGCCAGCTGAACGAGCAATGATCGATAGTCTTGTACTCGAGTCCGGTCTTGTTTTGATCTCAACAGTATGTTGGTTTGGCCTCAGGTTTAAGGTGGATTTAAGATTGGTCAAGTGTTTTTTCTTTCTTTCCATGACAGCACAGCTGTGTAAAGTGAAGGCCATTTGAAACCAGAAGCAGGAAACATCAGTATGGCACTCAAGCACCTTCACATCGCTGAGCATTGAATAGCTACCAGCCAGTCATGTGATATAAACGTTAGATATGGCCTTTCATCTGTAACTGGATTATTGTCAGTCGAAACTTTTCTTAGTAAGGGTCTCAGTAAGTCTTTTCCCAAAACAGTGGTCTGGCTGATCAACTACATTTAGAGCAAGAGGAAATTGTGTGATTAGCTATGGTTCTTTGGGGCAGTCATGGGCTGGAGGTTAAGGAAACCAGCCTTGTGACCAGAAGGCACCGATTCAATCCCCTGAGCTGACAGTACGTGACTGAAGGGCCCTTTGAGCAAGGCACCTAACACCCCAACTGCTCCCCGGGTGCCATGGATAGGGATGCCCACCGCTCTCGGCAAGGGTGCTCACTGGTGTTTCACTGCACGGATTGGTTAGATTGCAGAGCCGAAATTTCTCTGTTGGGGACTAATCAGGGTCACTTAATCTTTAATTTTGGTCAGAACTCCCAAATCAGGCCCAAGAATTTTCCGTCAGTGCCCAACCCAACTCGACACAGCACCATGTTTTGAGTCTTGACTGATATAGATTCTGACCCGAACCATATTGTTGTGTTTTGAGTCCCAAACTAACCCAAGTACAACAAAAGTCTGTCTGAAACTGCCCCAAACTGGAAACCTGACAGGACAGTGCCTCAGTGAAAATGTACTGAAAGTTACATCTATCTAAAAATGACATAATACAAAAGATATACAGCCATATGCAAAAGTTTTTTTCACGCTGTCATTATTCATTATAATGCAATTACTGTTTATTTGCTGAATTGGACATACTGAATAAAAATAAAACACAAAAATGTGGCCTGTGTAAAAGTTATGGCACATTTATATATATTCCAAAGTGCAAAACTCAAACTAAAATAGAAATATGCCACATGCAAGTTTGTTTGCTGTAGAGGACATGACAACTTATTTTCATTTAGAAAAATATTCTAAAAAATGACAGGTGTTTCTGTCCACATGTACAGGAAGTCAACTCAACGCTATGGGTCTGAAAGGATGTGTAGCTGTCAAGAAGCTCTTACTGAGACAAAAAAGAAACAAAAAAGGACATATGCAAATCAAACAAAGAAGCTGCTGGTGTTCTCAGA